GGAGGGGCAGAGGGTTGAGGTGCAGGTTCTGGTCTTGGATTAAGGGATCTGGAGTATGAGAAGGGCTCTGAGCTGAGCTTGGGGCAGGCAGCTGGGGATCCGGATGGGGCTCTGGGTACGGGCTCTAGGAGGGTGTTTGGATGCAGGGGTGCTTAGGGGTGGGTAGAGGCCTGGGGTGCAGGAGGGAGTACGTGGGTGGGGTAGGGTTTCAGAATGTGGGCTCCAGCTGGGCACTACTTACCTCAGGTGGCTCCTGCTGGGTGGTGGTGCAGTAGGGCTAAGGAAGGCTCACCCTGGCGCTGCACCACTCCCAAAAGCAGGCAGCAAACTCCCTCCCAAGCCCTGTTGTGCCCTCCTCTCTGCTTTGTGGAGATAGAATAAAGAAGGGGAGGGGGCACCCTGACATCAGCACCTCCTTCCCTCACCTGCCCAGCAAGCAGGAGGCTCCTGAGGTTCACAGCTCCAAGGCAAAGGACAGAAGATGCACAGCAGTTGGGGGAGAGGCAGCTGAAGTGCTGAGCTTGATAGCCTCTTGGTCAAACCAGTCAGAATCATCTGTCAGAGGCTCCAAGAACTACCAGTAGATCCCAATCTACTGGTTGGTGACCACTGCTGTGGAGCATCTGGTATTGGCCAATGATGGCAGACAGGATACTGGGCTGGATGGAACCATTGGTCTGACCCAGTATGGCCGTTCTTATATTCTTATAAAAACTAGGTGCGTTAAGTAATGCACTCTGAAAAACATTACCAAATTAATTCTCAATGTGCTTGTGAAGTAGGGAAGCAACCTATTTTATAGATGGTGGGTGACACAAAGAAATTAAGTGTCTTGTCTAAGGTCTCACAGGAAATAGGTGACAGAGCAGAAAATTGAATCCAGAGCTCCTGAGTTCCAGCCCAATGTCTTATCTTCAAGACAATTCTTTTCATACTGTCATCTTGCTAGTGCAAAATAGTTCCCAACAGTGTATTTTCAAATGTTTTATCCTGACTAGTTGCAAAATAATTTAGGCAACAGATGAGGATTTAATGTGACAGCTTTTCTATGACAAAAGCCAGTTTCAAAAGTCTGAAGTGGAGGCACAGTGTTCAACAGAAGCTTAACTCAATTTAAAAAGTACAGGTATGTAGTTGTTAATGAACAACATTATAGATTTTCCCACTAGCAAATTGTTCAAAAAGAATACAAAAAATTGTTTGTTAAACACAAACAGCAGCTGTAAAAATATGGGGCGTGGATCTAAACGGCTGCGGCTGCTATACTGCATGGCTATAGTAGCCCCATGCACAAATCCTACCAGATCAAAGCAGAAGTAGATTCCATTTATATCAGAAGTATACAGTCAAACGTACAAACCATATTACAAAATGAAGTAAAGCCTTTTTGTTCTTATTACCCACCACCTTCAAATTCATGATCATCTCTTCTGACATCCCAAACTGAATAATTCTTTCATGTCACTGCTCACAAAGAATTCCATTACACTCTACCCATGCTATTCTGAGACTATCATCTCCCTTTATGGCACACTTTTCAAAATGTTTTTTATACTCCAAGAAAGGTTTAAAAACAGATGGTTGTACTCAATAATTAACTTCACTTATCCAGTTCTCTATGCAGCTGCTTATTATTCCATTTAAGTTTTTTGATAACTATCACATCTGAAAGTGTTACAGGTAAGTTGATCTGTATGTTTAAATGCAACATTTTACACTGTATTTCAAATTATTGAATATCTATTGGGTGATCACATAATATACCCTACTTCCTGCATACACACAAGGGACAGAACTAAAGCAGCGACTGATGTTTTGTCACCAAGGGTAGAATTTAGTCCTGCAAAAGGAATTTAGTAATCTTTTTGTAGCACAAAACAAAAATGAACCCAACTCTCCCGCAACTATGTTGACTGTGCAGTGCTTACAGGAGCAAGTAGTAGCATGCGTTTACTGTCACTAACATACAATTGATCTGAACCTTGTGTAGTCATGATCTAGCTTCTGTCCTATTTCAGCTGCTTTTCTGACAGCAGAAACATAATAAAGATAGCATTTATGGTAGACATTACAAATAAATTTAATCCTGTTACCACAATCTAAACCAGGTATTTGAATGGCTGTACTTTCAAATCAGCAGGTGAACTTTAAGAATACCAAAGTGAAAGGTTATAAACCTATTGGAATATTTCGCTAGACCACTGGTTTGATTTAGTTATCAATCTTCAGCAAATAAGAAAAAACTGCAAATAAAACCTTATGCTTATCAGAATTTTCAAGACAACTTAACACTATTTTTGTTTATATGCTACATTTTCATAAATTATAACTTGAGGTTGAATTCTTCCTGAGAGCTATAAGAACTTTAGCTGCAGCATAGGCTTTCAACACCTCCAGCAACCCTCCATAGTCACTATTGTTTAATCATTATCATACACTATTTTCAAACCTTAAATGCTATTTCTAAACTACGCATCCTCAAAATGTTCTTAAGGCCCCAAATCTATTTGTAGGTTATGAATAAATTAGAACTCGATCAACTTGCAATTTCAGTTTCACTGTGTTCATTTAATGGTGATTTCAGGCGCCAAACATGCCCATTTACTACTGCCTATTTAACTGTTAGTTTCTATTTTTAAGAATAATTTTCTCTTCCCCTTTTGTGTTTAATATTGGCACTTTCAAAGTCACCACCACAAAAACTCACTAGATCTTCAACACAGTATTTCATTTTCTTCTTTTCTTCCTGTACTAAGAAATCTGGAAACAAACCCTTGTATTAGAGGCCTGATACGGGGCAGGTCCTGCTCTCAGAACCAGATAACAACTGGGCTAATACTACATAAATATGCATTCTTAAGAAACACTAAGTAAAAAGTATTTCACGAAAAAAAAATCCTAATATCAAGTGGTAACAGAACATCCCAAAAATCAAGGATGGAGATATCAAGGATAATACAAAAACCTCTCTCAAGAATAACAGAAACACACAGACTTCTCCTAAAAGATATGGTCAGAATGACAGTATATAACTTGTTTATTTCAGGGTATAAAATTCTCTCAGAGGGATTATTTTTGGCCAGTGTAGGGGACAATGGAAAGTCCCACCACAGACTGAGCATTGTCATTGTCATGAGCATATGTGTCTTAGCATCCTTGTAAAATCTACCAGATGCTATAACTGTGTTTCATCAACAGTAAACCTTGCTGAGTGCCTTTATATCTTCACGGATCTTGTGGTCATTGCCATTGGGAAGTTGGCTCAAGATCTGCTGTGTCAACTATCTGCACAAAGCCGGAACAGCACATAGGGAGAACACACAAACGCAGTCAAACATACAATCATATTCTTTTCACCGTACAACTCCTTTTTATCTCATCTTTATGCTCTGCTTCATGAATTTTGCTCCTATACCTGGAATAGTCTTCCCTTCTTACCCCACATCTTCAGGCAAGAATGCATACTGTAGAATTCACACCCTCACATTTTACATGCTGCAGTAACTACTAACTGATGCATTGATCCCAGCTATTTGTAGTAAGGAACTTAGATTTACAGAATACTGTTCCTTAGCCCTCCCAAACATCCTGCCACTCCCTGCAATTCCAGCCCACTGCCAATTTAAACTCACAAACCTGGGGGCAATATTAGGACCAAAGAGCACCAATCCTTTCACTAGGGGCCACTTGTCAGGTGAGGAGGAAGGGGAGGAGGAACTGCAGAATTCATGGAGGGAAAATCTTAAGAGGAGAAGGGTGACAAGAAGCTGCACCTGGCCTGAATATTCAGGTTTTTAGTCCACTGCTTCCCCAGTGCATGGTCTTAAGCAAGTCATTTAACCTTTATCTTTCTCACTCAGATCCTAACACACCTGTGAGATAGAAGAATAATGTGTGCTCTGAGAATCACCACAAGTACTATGTAAGTTCTAAACAAATAAGAGTTGCAACACTTTGAAATGCAAAAAAAACCCAGCACATACCATCCTCCTCCCCACACAGGAGGCAAGCCCAACACCTCCCCCACTGAATAGCAACTTTTGTTTAGTATATAGAGAGATAACATACAGATAAGATTGGCAACATTATTTCCTTACTAAATTGTGGCAGTGGGAACACAGCAGCATCTTTAGCTAGCCACAAAAATTTTCAATATCACATAACTTAGTATAATGTGATAATTTTTAGACACACAAAAAAAACCCCTGGCAGATTATATTTTTTTTTTCTGTCAACTGACAAATCCATAAAAGAAACAGCCAAAGTGATCAAACGCTGACCAGATGGTAATCCTAGTTTCAACACAATAGTTAAGGTTAATATGATCATTCCATTACAAGTTTTTCTTGTCAGTTATAACTTGACCAAGTTTATACAGGGCTTTGGTTCAAATGTCCACTGCAATGGATTCTTTTCAGACAAAAATAATCATAAGCTTTATTCTTGCACAAATGCGGTTTTCTTAAAAAAAAAAAAAAAAACCCTGAGTTGATGGTATTTCTGACAGGGAGAACTATTAATAAAATGTTGAATCTATCAATTTAAATGCACAATTCAGACAAGAAATGTAGAACATTCAAAGTTAAGGTCTCTGATTCTGGTGCATTTAACTTTCCTATTTTAATATTGTTGGGGCTTTTGCATTGACTATTAAGTGTTTGCGATGGACATAACTAACTTTTTTCCATCAGAAATGTCTTTCACTCAGGAGTGTAACGTGTAGTGTATTCTTTTTAATAGGTCAAAGAATGCAAGTCTTTTTTTATCGCCTCTACAAATAACAGTAAATAAAAAAAACAAGAAGAAAACATCTGAATGAGAGTAGGAACAAATTATATAATGCCAGAGAACACTTTTTAGGGGCTATACCGCTTATTTTTTTTAAGATAAGATTCTGGTCCAATTTCAACCCTTGCTTTGAGTAAGTGCTTCTAACATTTTTAAAATGTAAAATAAAGCATCTGAGATACTGAAAAGTGACTAGTAAAAAGTAATTTTACCTGAAAATTGTTTTCTGTGACTCTGTTCCACCAAACCATATTGATGGGTACTCCTGTTTTACACCTGTCAGCCAGACAGCCAATAGCGTTCTTTGATTTTCGTGCTTTTGATCCCACCGGAACTATCCTCTCCTCCAGCATCCCCAGTCGATACTTCCTTGGCTACGAAAAAGAAGGAGAGAAACCAGGCCACTCCTAACATCCCTCAGTCTAGAGCTAAACTAAAATAGATAACACATCTCAGGATGATCTCTGGATTGGTGGAATAGGAAACAATTTGCAAGTAAAATTTCTCTGAGACTGTTTCCTTCAATCCCGACTATGAGGGTCTCACTAACGATGCCTTAGAAAGGAAAGCAAAACAACTAAGGCAGAAGTAAAGTATCTGTAAGCAAACTGTTGCAACAGAAGTCAGCCACTACAGCCTGTGCATACAGTTTGGTGAATTTCATGAAAATGAAAAAAATATATATATTTGGCAAAACTCTTCCATTAACACTTCCCTGGTTTTATCCTATAAGACAAAAACTGTTGTGGCAGAACAAGTAAAAGCCTGTATACAAAGAGACCTTGGTACCTTCTAACCTATATTCCTCTCTAGCACATACCTTCAACCACACAGGATACTGAACTCTGACACATTATTTGGGAAGGATCAAAGGCTTCCACCAAATCAACAGGAAGTCAGCTTTATGGGAAAAAAAATATTCAAAAGCATGGGTCGAAGGAAATTTCAAATGCAAGATAATTTTGAAGTAATTTACAACAGAACTCATGCAATGAAGGCAAAAGGTCTTCCCTCTGTCCAAATTAATATTCAGTAGGCCAATTCCAACTATATTTCAAATGAAGAGAGACATGAAATACAATAATGGAAGAATAAGTGAAATGGACTCTAATCATTCAAGAAAGCAAGCCACACTTTTCAGAAGCCAACATGCAAAAGGTGGTTATGACACAACAAATAAAGGCCACCAGCATGTGGACTTTAAATAATTTATTTTTTATGAAAAAAGCACTGGAAACTGAAGCCCTTTTCTCAACAAACAGGCAAACCACAAGAGCAGTGCAAACTTCCCCATGTTGTCAATATCTATGTATCCTAATCTAGAGCACAAACCAACAGGAACACAATTCAGAGTTTAGGCTTATTTAGAGCCTGGTTATTTGGAAAAGGAGAGCTAAAAACAAAAAAGAGAAACTGAACCAAGCAGTTAAGCAGAGGGAGGCTGTTCCCTTTATAACTAGATTCAGATTCTAGAGGCATACAGTGAAACTGAATTAAGGTTCATGGAGGGGTCAAAAACCAAAACCAAACACAAACACAGGAAGGCCAGTTGTATGTCACAAGCAATATAGGATCCAGTCTGGACTAATAAAATGTCTAATTCAAAGCCCTCCTAACAAGACTCAGGAATTAAAAGACATCTGTATGTAATAAAACATAGGGGCTTTTGAAAATCTTCTAATGTCAGAGCTAAGTGACTTATCAGCCTACATCCAATTTTCAAAAATGACTAGGGCTTGTCTACAAAGGTGAAATATACTGCATGGCAAGCCAGGGTCTAATGCTACAGCACACCAGGCTGCTGTGCAATAATTCACAATATGGGCACTTCAACAGCACAATGGAAGCCTTGGAGTGTGGACTAGAACTTACACATTCACTCTAGTTAGCACGTCCATCCAATCAGCATGCAGCAAGATGTGTGATAAAGGCACATTCTGGCTTGCCATGCTATACAGACATGCCTAAAAAAACATGAATACAAGAACACAAATGTCTGCAATTTCAGACAGATATGAAAGCCCTGTCAACGTTTAAATAATACACCAAGTTCACACTCAAACTATTTGATCAATGAAAGTGCATCCAGGTCACGAAGTACATCCAAGTCTACAAGAAAATGGAAGAAAGGAAAGGGAAAAAGAATTTCTGGAGGGAGAAATTGGGCATGATCAGTAAGCATTCAGGACAGGAAAACCAAAACACTGCAATATTCTTGCTCTCTGTAATTTTGTTTGTTACCATAGGTAGAGGATTATGCCTGGGATGGAAGGCAAGGAAAAAGGACTACTAGAGAATGCCTAGAAGCTATGACATACTATGAAAAGATGATTTAACCTGCCCAATAAAGTTCAAGGGGTGCTTGATGAAAGGGCAATTCCCTAAGATGAATTTAAAAGTGACTGTCTGAAAGAAAGACTCCATCAGGTAAAGAACAGCAGCAGCAGACTTTTTGTGTACTTTGACATTGAAAATGTTTGAAGGCAACTGAAATTTAAATATTGACCTGGTGAACAATCCTGAGAAGCATCAGAGAATTCCTACTAAGAAATGTCTTCACACCAAAATATTCTGACAGATGAGCAACCTTGAATCACCATGTGCTCAGAAATATCAGCCCATATGTTATTTGTTCCCCATTCATCCAATATAGAGTCCCAGAGAATTCTAGCAAGTCTATTAACTTGTTCATTTTATTCTGCTAGATGGACTGTTTTACTGTATTTAAAACCTGTAGGGTACAAATGAAGCTTGTCTAGATTTATTCCTGTAAGACAAAGAAAAAACCTTAGGAAGACACAAACAAGATGCAAGGCTTCCTTGTCCTAGGTACTTTCATCCAAGAACAGAATCTGCATTATCCTCAAGCCTGATGTTTTCAGTGTTGCCATCAGGATTTATACACTGGGAACTGAGCCACCATATTCCAAAAGCAATTTTGGAAAATTTAAGCATAATATTTATTTGCATGTGAAAAGATATACTGATTTTCTGAAATGCATTTATACCATTGATGAACAGCATTTTCATGTTGGAAGGGATGTAAGACAAATAACCTGTCCCAAGGATCTTACAATCTAAAGTAGAGTTTAGAAGACTAGGAAAATGAAATTAAAAATGCATAATGAAGCATTCAAAATGCAGGGAATAAGAAGGTCAAGGATTCACCTGCAACCTTTACTCTGCCCCTTGTAGTCATGCAGTATCTGTGTGATCATACACTTCTATAGTGACATTCTTCCTGTCATTTTAGATACAAGTATCATCTTACAACATGTATGGAGGTTTAGAAAAATCTTTCCCTCTTCATGTTCCATTACAGACTTATGAAAAGTAGAAATAACATGCTATCAACTTAACACACTACATATGTATTAGAGCAAAACATAATTATAACAGAAACATCGTGCAAATATACAACAGCCAAAGAAATGTCCAGCAGATTTAGCTTTGTAGTTAAGGTAGAAAAGATATACAGCTGATGAATGTTGACAAACCTTTTAAAATGTCTTTTTTCTAAGATATGTCTCACAGAATGACTAAGTAAATGAAAAAACGAGGAGTCCTGTGTCATCTAGAAGACTAACAGATTTAATTGGGCAAAACCCCACTTCATCAGATGTGTGCCACAAGACTCCTTGTTGTGTTTGGGGATACAGACTAACATTGCTACCCCTCCACTATAAGTCAATGAAGATACTTCCGTCATGAGATATACTGACTTTATTTAGGTATATGCCACAAAACACCAATTAAGTTGAAAGCTAGAAGTTCATTCTTTCAAATAGTTACAGAGAAATGAGCTTTTTACTTATAGAAAGTTTTAGAAATTGATGTAAGTAAATGTATCAGATATCACATACAGCCTGAATATAAAAAACATATTAGGGAACACCGCACACTTACACAAATAAAATAAAATAAAATATCAAATCTGTTTATCAGTAAATAAATATTCTGTGGAACTCTAATGAACAAATGAAAACTGGATAACAGAATTTCATAAAACCGTAAAATGGAGACCAGATAGCATGGCAGTCTTGATACATATCTTGCAGCAAATAAAGCAGTTTCGCCACATTAAAGAAAAAGCTTTATTCTAACTCTTTCTGTAGGAGAATAATCTTGTTTCCACATTTATGCAATAACTTCTTTACAGAAACAAGCAAGTGATTGCATAACTGTTTATAACATTTTATAATTGCAATAGTATGGTATAAATTGCAGAAGGTAATTTTACATTTGAAAGAAAAGTTTAGTATAGTAATGATCTGAACTCTTCGTAGCACAATCCCGCAAATTACAATGAGCGATGATACAAGGCTGGGGTTGCTTGGTAGTGAGTATTGAACTAACTCCTAAGTGTGATTTATATACTGGATTTCTTAGATGGTGTGTTAGAATGTCAGAGGAGAGCATTTAGTTTCCACGTGGCTAGATACAGTCATAAGGCCACCAACTGCAAGCAATTAAGGCAGAATGTGTTTAACTACCTAAACATGGATGGAAAAATTCTCCTAGAATGACTCCTCCCTCCCACAAGTCAGCCAGCCAGCCAGGCTGAACCAGAAGGAAGATGTGTCACCTTATCCCTATAACAAAGACATTTGAGTAACATGGTAATTGGAGATCAAAGTCAGAAGGAATGGGACAGGGAATTTTTCAGGAAACTCAGCTGGGCATGGAGGGACTGAGGAGAGGGGAGAGACACAGAAAGACAAGAGCTAGGTTCCAAGTATTCCTTCACATCCTACAAGAACGCTGAAGAAGTGGTCTGCGTTGCTCAAAAGCCTGTTTCTTTCACCAACAAAAGTTGGTCCAATAGAAGATATTACTTCATCTACCTTGCCTCTATAAGAAAGCAAGTCTGTTCTGTTCTTTTCCCATAACTAGGGAGGCCATTCACACATGCTCATAGTATTGGACATTCTGGTAGCCATGGCAATGGAGTGGGCCCACCCCTGCCAGCGTGAGAGGTCATGCTACAGCAGGTGCATCATTTTGAGGCGCTCACTGCCTGGTACCTGCCAGTGTGATTTTCCATGCACCATATGTGCAAGATCAAACCAGAAGAATGGCAGTCTGCTCTTCAAAATGAAATAGAACCTACCCTATCAGATTCTAGACAAAAACCACATCATGTTTTGTCTCAGTACTGGAAAAGGGACAAACTAATCAAAAGGGGGACTGTTCAGTTTACACCCTCCCTATCTGTAACTCAAAGAGGGAAACACACCTTACTTAGCTTGCAGAGAGGCACAAGATTAGAGACTAAATAGGTATGTAGGCTGTTCTGAAATATCTCTTGCTAAAGCTTTGTTCCTACAGCCAAATGTCCATAAATTTTGCAATGAAATAAGTGATTGGAATACAG